TTAGGAAGAATGACCAGGATAACGAGGACTGCCTCCAACTTCACGGTCTCAATCCCACAGTCACCAAAGAGAAAACACAGGAGACCATCGATTAGGAGAGGTTGGAGGAAGCTCCCAACACCCCAGGCCGCGTCGCCCCCCCCCACATACCCCGGGTTTGAGCCTTCGGTGGAAACCCTGAACCTCTTCTCACTTAAAGAGAAAACGATGCCTCTTTATGCTAAGCAACACACAGCCCTAACCAACCAAGCCAAAGCATTCCCAAACACCCAAACACCCAACTCAGAAAGTGCCTAGGCCCAGGCTGCTGGGGGGATGAAACGGGGTTGCATTTTACCTCATGGGCTCAGCGGTCATGCTTTCGCTTTAACGCCTTGTCGGCTTCTGCGACCTGTAGGGCGCCGCTCTGCCCTCCCCGGAGCCTGGGTACGATAGAAATGCAATGAAGTCTTAGTCGTCACTGTAGCTTGTGATGGAGCCTCCCCACAGCTTAAAGGCCACTACCACTGCCACCGCCGCAGGAGCCGCGGAAACAAAGCGACGCCGCCGTCGCCGCCATTTTGTTGGGCCGAGGCTCAGGCTGGAGAATTGGCGCGTCCTACCTCTTCCTCTTTCCGTCTTCCATTGGCTACCTCATCCACAGTGCAGAGTCTTATTGGCTACGGAAATTCACCTTCTTTGGGGGCCTGTTGCTAAGGCGATCGACGTCATTTGATCCCCTCCACCTTTTCACAAGGGGTCCAATTCAGTCCCAAATGACCTGAAAAGTGCTAGTGGCGTATTTTGACTTTATTATGAAAATACTCTTTTGATCCATCATTTCTTTGACATATTGATAAACCAATTTACATTTATTGAGAGTTACTGTATACCCAACACTATACTAATCCTCACCCAGATTACTTTATGTAATCCTTACACCCTTGGAGGCAGACACTCTTATTACCTAATTTTCCAGAAGAGAAAACTAAGGCATAAAATCCCACAGCAGTGGAGCCACGATTCAGATGAGTCGAACTCCAGACAGCGTACTCATAACCACTAATCTATATAACAATCCTATATAAATATTCTCTTTCCTGAATTTCTATATTCCAAGTTATCAAGTTCTTTTCTTTCCAAGATGTTTCATACCTACTATTCGGCACCCAAGCATACTTGAGAATACATATACACATATATATGACTTAAGACTAACTTGAGATCTACATACAATTTTTTCAATATTGAATAATCTCTAAACGCCCTTAGAACACATACATACACATCACCCATTTCCCCATCCTGAACTGATGGTGTCGCTCACAAACGAACCATTCAAGATCTGTTTCCACTTCATCACAGAGGAAGTTTGGCTGGATGAACTCTTAAGTCTTTCTAGCTTTCATATTCTATAATTTGTTTCTACATTGGTAATAATTTCTGATATTCACGAAACAGTTCTCTAAAATAAAACAGCTTCCATTTTTATTTCCAAATTTATTGTGCTATGAATTCTTTAATTTATTTGTTTTTCTTGAAATTTGCAAAAGCTTCTGTTGTGTGGTTAGGTGACAAAGTTGCTGCTTTCTACTAGAATAGCAAGAAATTAATCTTCTTTTGAATCACTCACCTTGATAATCAGATAGACTTGTTGTTGTTGTTATGTGCCATCGAGTCGGCCCCGACTCATAGTGACCCCTCCTTGGGTTTCCCACGGAAGTAGGATTGCCCAACCTTCCTTCTGAGGAGTGGCTGGTGGGTTTGAACCGCCAGCCGTCTGGTTAGCAGGCAAGTGTCTTAGCC